GATGATACCAAGTCAGCCAAGTTCTGATGAGTTGCTTGACACTTGTCACGCAGCACTAGCTTTGGCCAGTGATGGGAGTTAGGCTGGGAAGTGGATTAGAGTCATTGTTTCAGACATGGAGGCAACTGAGGGGGGCAATGCACGCACACTGGGCACCCATATGCGACTGTTCCATGTCTTCTCCAAAGGCAACCATGGCTAACAGACAAATCATCACCTTCGGTCTCCCATGGAGCCTAGCCAAATGGAGCGCCCACCATGGCGGATCTCCTCTTTGCCCAGCACAGAAGTGTACCCGCCTCTGGTGCTGCATGTGTTCTTTGGCCTTGGTGGATTCCCCTCTCGATTCCTCTAGGAGTTACGTGCCACGCATTCCCCACTCTCCATGAATATAAGGAAGCCAATGCTTGATAGTGACATTGAGCTGGTTGTGTCGCCATGACAGCCAGATCGGACTTCGCCATCCTCCAAGCAGCGCAAAGCAGCCTGCAGTCGGCGGACGACCTATTCCGCCGCATCATCGCGGCGCAGCAGCTCGGCCGGAGCTCCAACGAGCTTTGCTCGGTCGCTAATGGGACCATAACCGAGTTCAAACGCTTGCTCTCATTGCTCGATGGCTCGCCGCCGCCGCGTAAGAGGATAAGGAAGGGCCCGTTGCTGAACACGACCGAGATTGATCCAACGCAGTTCATGGAACGTCGAGCTTTTTGTTCTACTGTGCCAAGCAATGGCCTCGAGCAGAAGCGTAACCGCGAAGCAGACGTCAAGAATCTATGCACGCAGTCGACTGGCGTTCTCGAGCAGAGACTGATGCCCTCTATTAGGAGGCCGATCTATTATTCTTCGATCAGTTTGAATGGTGGTAACAACATGGCCAAGCAACTATGGAGCTACTGCTGCTCTTCCTCTTCGACTCACGGGTCGATCAACTGTTCTTCTCTTCTCTCCTACAGGAAGCAGCATGGAAGTGGAGAGGGTGCCATTGCAGGGTGCCATTGCTCGAAAGGAAGGAAAGATACCTCACTGATTCAATGATGGACTACTGGTGTTTGGGTTGATCTTTCTTACTGATGCTGTGGCTTTTGCATCCACAGGAAACATCGAATCAGAAGAACAATCAAAGTGCCGGTTGTGGGCGGTAAAGTAGCAGACGTACCTTGTGATGATTTCTCATGGAGGAAGTACGGGCAAAAGCCCATCAAAGGTTCTCCACACCCACGGTAAGCACGCCCTTTTTGGCCCTTCTTCCTCACCAATTAATCTCCTCATTAGAAGCTGGAAGCTATCTGCATGAACTCTGAGGAGTTCTCGCCGTTCCAAGCTCGATCAGGTGGAGTGATATGTGTTCATGCACAGGAGCTACTACAAGTGCAGCAGCATGAGGGAGTGCCCCGCCAGGAAACATGTGGAGCGGTGCCTCGACGATGCAAACATGTTGATTGTGACATACGAAGGCTACCACAGTCACCCGAGGAGTGCGTTAGCTGCATCTGCCGTGGCTGTTCCTCGATAGGATGAAGAAGGTGTCACTCACTACCTTAACAGAGATTGCAAGGCTCCGCCTTCTGTCTCTTTAGATCGAATCCTCCTCCGTAACAAGGTAGTTGTGTACTTAAATCCAAATCATAAAGAAATAATAAATTTCAAGGAATGGAGACTGTGGTTGGTTGGTAATGAGGAAGAACACCTACTAAACACATCCATACATTGCGGAGAATGTCTTCATTACGGGATGCAGTGGAAGAATCTGATGAAGGAAGGCGTCTGAGAAAGCATACATCAAATCCCAACACTAGAATGTGGTCATGAACACGAAAGTTTCACCTTAATCTGTAGCTTCCTTTCCGTGTGTGCATCTATTTCTTTGAAGTGTGCAAGCTTGCCTGGGCTCTGTGTTTGCGGAACGACTGGAAAATTTTTAGGGCGATTTCCCTAAGAAAAAATCATCATTTTTATGTTTTCTAAAGAGGTGTTTCTTGTTTTTATTTTTATCAAATGATGCTCCTATTTTAAATAATATTTAAAATATCATGCACTAATCTCAACGATACTTTTTTTGTCAATTACAGTTTTAATTAATGTTCAAAATATCATTCACTAACTACAATGATATATCTTTTTTTTAAAATCAATTTTACCCTGTTATAATATTTTAGTCACTTCAACAAAGTGTTTTGGTATGTCATAATATTTTAATCACCACAATAAAATACTTTAAATCTGTGAAAACATTGTGAATGATACAAATGGGACTCATAACCTCAATCATACCAATTTCAAGCTTAAATATTTCGAATCGTAATAATCTATGAGCAATAACAAAATCAAAGAGATATAATTTAATATCACTTAAGTGAGCCAAATAAAATCAAAATATTATGAAAATTATTTCATATATCATACTAGACTCAAATAGGTATTTATAATAGTTTAAAAATAATATAACCTAAATAAGGATAAAAATACTATGAAATCTAATTAAAAATTTTATAAATAATCCAAATGAACTTCTAACTTAAGTGTTATTTAAGTGGTAAATGATACAAATGACTATCTTTAAGTTGTTTGTTTCTCTTTCACTTTTAATTCACTTAAACCCTCATTAAAATTCACAAATGACTATATATATATATATATATATATATATATATATATATATATATATATATATATATATATATA